ATAAGCAGCGCGTGAGTTTCAAGTTTGGGGAAGATAATTTTCACCATAAATGCACCTTTATAATAAAAGCATTTCATGCATAATTGCATTTGCGGTCACTTTTGATAATGGTGATTTCCGCTAATGGAACATTCGTGCTTATAGCATACTACAATTTTTTTATTTTTTTATTCTTATTTTATTTCACCTTTATTTAACCAGGTAAGCCAGTTGAGAACAAGTTCTCATTTACAACTGCGACCTGGCCAAGATGAAGCAAAGCAGTGCGATTAAAAACAACAACAACACAGAGTTACATATGGAATAAACAAAACGTACAGTCAATAACACAAAAGAAAATCTATATACAGTGTGTGCAAATGTAAGTTATGGAGTTAAGGCAAGAAATAGGCCATAGTGCAAAATTATTACAATTATTATTAACACTGGAGTGATTGATGTGCAGAAGATGATGTGCAAATAGAGATACTGGGGTGCAAATGAGCAAAATAAATAATGTAAATAACAATATGGGGATGAGGTAGTTGGGTGGGCTAATTACAGATGGGCTGTGTACAGGTGCAGTGATCGGTAAGCTGCTCTGACAACTGATGCTTAAAGTTAGTGAGGGAGATAAGAGTCTCCAGCTTCAGAGATTTTTGCAGTTCATTCCAGTCATTGGCAGCAGAGAACTGGAAGGAATGGCGGCCAAAGGAGGTGTTGGCTTTGGGGATGACCAGTGCGATATACCTGCTGGAGTGCAGACTACGGGTGGGTGTTGCTATGGTGACCAGTGAGCTAAAATAAGATGGGGATTTGCCTAGCAGTGATTTATAGATGACCTGGAGCCAGTGGGTTTGGCGACGAATATGTAGTGAGGGCCAGCCAACGAGAGCATACAGGTCACAATGGTGGGTAGTATATGGGGCTTTGGTGACAAAACGGATGGCACTGTGATAGACTACATCCAATTTGCTGAGTAGAGTGTTGGAAGCTATTTTGTAAATGACATCACCGAAGTCAAGGATCGGTAGGATAGTCAGTTTTACGAGGGCATGTTTAGCAGCATGAGTGAAGGAGGCTTTGTTGCGAAATAGGAAGCAGATTCTAGATTTAACTTTGGATTGGAGATGCTTAATGTGAGTCTGGAAGGAGAGTTTACGGTCTAACCAGACACCTAGGTGTTTGTAGTTGTCCACATATTCTAAGTCAGACCCGCCGAAAGTAGTTATTCTAGTCGGGCGGGCGGGTGCAAGCGGCGTTCGATTGAAGAGCATGCATTTAGTTTTACTAGCGTTTAAGAGCAGTTGGAGGCCACGGAAGGAGTGTTGAATGGCATTGAAGCTCGTTTTGGAGGTTTGTTTACACAGTGTCCAATGAAGGGCCAGATGTATACAAAATGGTGTCATCTGTGTAGAGGTGGATCTGAGAGTCACCAGCAGCAAGAGCGACATCATGTGTGCATTGCTGTGCTTTTAATGTGAAGAAATAGCCTAATAGTTTATCAACATTTTAAGCTAAACGTTCTGATCTGTTGCGTCAGCCACATTGCGTAAAAAAGTTGTTTTAATGCTAGTGGTTGTATTAATTTGGGATCTATCGCATCCCACAACTGTCCCAGACTATGTTTGGAATGTTTCTTTCTCGCACAGAATAGAATAGGTCGACTTTTGTACTATGGGGGATAATAGATTGACATAGGCTAATGCTTTTGCTGTTCGTTAGGCCTACTCAACTTGTTGGCTGACGAAAAGTAAATTCTTCCAATATCTTCAATATGCACCTTGGAATTGGATAAGGACGCGCGCAGTTGCGTCCCCGATGTGTCTGTCTTCACTTGTAGCCTGTGAGAAAGACCCGATCACGTGATGGAGAGCCATGTGAGTGAGATGTGATTCGGAGCGCGCAGCACTCAGGGAGAAGGGCACAACAGCCACTGGCCGCAAAAGGCATGGATTTTTTTAGGATGCATTACGGCCACACAAAGGGGATGCCGCCGTGAAATTGTCAAATTGTGAAATGATCAGTCTATAATTTTAATGGTAGGTTTATTTGAACAGTGAGAGACAGAATAACAACAACAAAATCCAGAAAAACGCATGCCAAAAATGTTATAAATTGAGTTGCATTTTAATGAGGGAAATAAGTATTTGACCCCCTCTCAATCAGAAAGATTTCTGGCTCCCAGGTGTCTTTTATACAGGTAACGAGCTGAGATTAGGAGCACACTCTTAAAGGGAGTGCTCCTAATCTCAGCTTTTTACCTGTATAAAAGACACCTGTCCACAGAAGCAGTCAATCAATCAGATTCCAAACTCTCCACCATGGCCAAGACCAAAGAGCTCTCCAAGGATGTCAGGGACAAGATTGTAGACCTACACAAGGCTGGAATGGGCTACAAGACCATCGCCAAGCAGCTTGGTGAGAAGGTGACAACAGTTGGTGTGATTATTCACAAATGGAAGAAACACAAAATAACTGTCAATCTCCCTCGGCCTGGGGCTCCATGCAAGATCTCACCTCGTGGAATTGCAATGATCATGAGAACGGTGAGGAATCAGGCCTACACGGGAGGATCTTGTCAATGATCTCAAGGCAGCTGGGACCATAGTCACCAAGAAAACAATTGGTAACACACTACGCCGTGTAGGACTGAAATCCTGCAGCGCCCGCAAGGTATACAGGCTTGTCTGAAGTTTGCCAATGAACATCTGAATGATTCAGAGGAGAACTGGGTGAAAGTGTCGTGGTCAGATGAAACCAAAATCGAGCTCTTTGGCATCAACTTAACTCGCTGTGTTTGGAGGAGGAGGAGGAATGCTGCCTATGACCCCAAGAACACCATCCCCAATGTCAAACATGGAGGTGGAAACATTATGCTTTGGGGGTGTTTTTCTGCTAAGGGGACAGGACAACTTCACCGCATCAAAGGGATGATGGACGGGGCCATGTACCATCAAATCTTGGGTGAGAACCTCCTTCCCTCAGCCAGGGCATTGAAAATGGGTCGTGGATGGGTATTCCAGAATGACAATGACCCAAAACACACGGCCAAGGCAACAAAGGAGCGGCTCAAGAAGAAGCACATTAAGGTCCTGGAGTGGCCTAGCCAGTCTCCAGACCTTAATCCCATAGAACATCTGTGGAGGGAGCTGAAGGTTCGAGTTGCCAAACGCCAGGCTCGAAACCTTAATGACTTGGAGAAGATCTGCAAAGAGGAGTGGGACAAAATCCCTCCTGAGATGTGTGCAAACCTGGTGGCCAACTACAAGAAACGTCTGACCTCTGTGATTGCCAACAAGGGTTTTGCCACCAAGTACTAAGTCATGTTTTGCAGAGGGGTCAAATACTTATTTCCCTCATTAAAATGCAAATCAATGTATAACATTTTTGACATGCGTTTTTCTGGATTTTTGTTGTTGTTATTCTGTCTCTCACTGTTCAAATAAACCTACCATTAATATTATAGACTGATCATGTCTTTGTCAGTGGGCAAATGTACAAAATCAGCAGGGGATCAAATACTTTTTTCCCTCACTGTACAATGTATTACAAATCAGAACATATAGCCCAACGTTTGTAGAACAACTCAAGTTACATTAATAACTCTAAATTAAGCATATAGGAATACCTATTTCTTTGTTAACCTCTCAACACAGAATGTGCGCACTCCCTCAAATCGTTTGGAGAAAATATCCTTTCTATTTTATTCAGCTTTGTTCAATTGTATTCTTCATACTATAAAATATTGCCACGGAATTCTAAGCAAATCTTGTTTGCTAAATGAACTAGTGTAGCCCACAGCCATTTGGTATAGCCAGATTAGGACCTAACATAAGGACATCTCCGGGTATGCTGTTCTGTTCTTCTGAAATAGACTTCATTTTCTTCATATCATGCTTCTTTAGACCTGTCTAAATAAAAGGATTTATTGTGAAGGTATAGCTATATTCAGGATTATGGCTTTTTTAATGTAGATGTTCCAAGGTCTGCTCAGTGGTTGTACGCTATGTGGATAAGTAATCTTTACCAAGCACAAATTTAGTGGTATCCATGGCTTTAGGTGAACACACAATGTTGAGTGCTCTGATAAGAGTCTCTAAATGTACGTAACATGTGCCTTGAGCCGAGGCATTAACCCTAATGCTCCGTAAGTGCTCGGATAAGAGCGTCTGCTAAATGACTAAAAATGTATGTCACATGAAATGTGTGGAAGCCAGGAGATGCTAATGTGTTATGTTAATTAACGGTCAATTACCGTGAGACCGACAGTTATTTGCTTGACAATCACCGGCTGACAAAATTTCATGACTGCCACAGCCCTACTCACATTAGCTAAAAAATATCTAAACCCAACAAATGTCAATAGGTTCTATAAAGTGCCTGTAAGTAAAGTCTGAATATAAATATTTTCTGCTGTTGGAGTACAGTAAATCTGAGCTATTTGTGGTGTGTGTGGGGAGGGGGATTCCTGGAAGGAGCTTAACTGACTTCCTGCCCCTCCATACAGTCAACACAGGGGGGCTACTAGGAGCTGGCTCGCTGCACGACCAAATGGACTCTACAGTCATGAGCATTGAGCATACGTCCAGCTGTTTTTATCAACACAAGATAGTTAAGCGGAAAGGCACCCTAGCAGGCATGTCTGCAGGCATGTCTGTAATGTCTGCACCTGTTGTATTCGGCGCATGTGACCAATAAAATTTGATTTGATTTGTTGCGTATTTTCTATGCAAACTTTTTAAATGTTGACAAAAAATCACTGAACAAGTTAATAGAAACATAGCTAGTGATTCACACATTTGATCCAACATTGCTGTGTAACAGCCCATAATGAGAGTTGGCACATCTGAAATTAGCATTTACCTCAACAGTGCTTTGTCTGATGTCATAATCACTAATGCCATCAATGCATTCACCTGATGTATAGTCTTGGGAAAAGGTGATTAAAATAATATCTTAATAACCTCTTCTGTCTCCTTTTGTTCTCTCCGTACCTCAATCTCCACCTCTCCATCACGTCTCTCCCTCCAGATCCGCACATTAAGGTTTGTGGAAAGAGAGACAACGTGAGGGAAGCCAAAGACCGAATCATGTCAGTCCTCGACACAAAGGTGCGTATGAATGATGGAAAGGTGTTTGTTTTGTTCTCATGGCAACACCAACACTGACATCCCTAAATGATCAACTAGAGGATGGTAGTCAAAGATGTATCCAGTGAGTGTCTCTGGCTGTTATTTCATGTTCTTGGAAACCTTGGTTTACTACCTAATTGGTTCCTTTTTAATTTGAGTGGCTTGGTAACACACTGAGAAATGGAGTGATGGAGGCAAAGAGAGATGGATGGAGAGTAAGGGGCCCCGTGGATCTCACTGAGGTGGCAGGGGTCCACCATTTTAGAAAATAACTCCCTTCCACATCTCTTTCCCAGTCCATTTTCCCTCTCTCTCACACCTTATTTGGCTCACTCACTCCATCTCCAACAGAGTTCAAATGACAGGCTGCTCTCTCAGACGTGTGATATGAATTGCCACCAAGATGGCCAGTGCTTCCTTTCCTGAGTGTGTATTGGCTTGGCATGGTGCATGTCCTGTCTCTATGGCAACAAACATCACATCCCAAAATGGGCACGCCATAGCACCCCCTGTGGGCAGGTTTTATCCTAACAATCTAAACAAGTATTTTCTCAGCACACGGTCAACACGGTTGCCTACATATTGCACCCCAATGAGTTCAACATTAAACAACCATGATTAGTCAGCATTTTATATCAATGGATTTGTCTAATTAAACTTTTTGAAACATTTTAACAACAAGAACATACTTTTAGGCTCATCTGCTTTAGCTCTGTGTAATTAGCCATCTGAAAGGGTTTATGTTTGATATGATTGGTTATATTCCTCATGCCTCTCTAAGTGGAGCTTCTCATGGTGGACCCATCTGCCTGGCAGTGGTGTCGGACCAGAGCCAAGGTGTTGGATGAAGAGATGCATCCTATTTTTCTTTGGCTTATTAGCCGAGGAGCATTCACAATATTGCCATGGTTTACAGTCTTATATGTTGGTACAGAATGTAATATTTATGCATGTTAGATTTCTATCATATCATTCACTAAGTATTATTAAGTACATTGTATGGCAGGCCATGCTTAAGAAGAGTGTCTCCCCCTCCTTCCTCTCCTCCAGCAGACTAACAGGGTAACCCTTAAGATGGACGTGTCCCACACAGAGCACTCCCACGTCATCGGCAAGGGAGGCAACAACATTAAGAAGGTAATGGAGGACACGGGCTGCCACATCCACTTCCCCGACTCCAACCGCAACAACCAGGCGGAGAAGAGCAACCAGGTATGGAGAGATACACCACTGTACATGTACAATTAACAATGTATACTGGATCTGATAGACTGAATACTAGTTAATGTGCTACGCCATCATCAACCACATTTGTGTGGGACTATCAGAGGTTCTCTGTTTGCACAGGCTTTATTCACCTTTATTTACAATTTTAACCACATATGGAACTGGTATGTCCTCATTTGAGTATGTTCCATTTGTTAGTTGCTAGAGTGGCTTTAAATGGCCATGTTGCAGAGAGCTTCTGTAATTGGCTGTTTTGATTGGCTGTGCCGTAGGAAGCCAGTGTGTTTGGGCTGGATTGGATAGACGAGCAGTTGGAAGCGGCTGTAATTTCCATTTACATACACCTCTGGAGGAGGCAAGCTGCCAATCTCTTTGCATGTGCCATGCAATCACACATACATAACTTTGCAAGCTATCCCTTACCTTAAACACCTTGTACCTCAAACCCAGTGTGTGTGCATGCGTGTGTGTGAGGAGGAGGTGCTGACCCGAACCAGATGTACTTTACATTTTTGGGGTACCAGCTGGTCTCAAACACTGAGGCTTAATTTGTTCAGAAGTGCTGATTAAAGTTGGCAGAAGTTATGGTTCTTTGGGTCAAAGCTAGCCTTACTCCATTATGGTGAGTTACCGATGAAAAGCTTGAAAAGGAAGAGAAGGAGGACAGAGATTACTGCTCCGCTGGCAGGATATCTAATGAAGGCATTTATCTCTTTTTTAGATTCCTGTCGCAATTATTTTAATCGCAGGCACACATTCAGGATGTAAAGTGTTGAAAGGCAATTTCAGAAATTAAGGGTTGGGGTTTTTAAATATGGTAAACCACCAAACCATCTTTCTCTGTATGATGTTATTCTGATTGAGTTTTGATGAAAAACATAACATAAGCCATGGAAATTAGAATGATCGGACCAAATGGAAATACGAGAGAAGAGCTTTGGCTCTAAACTCTAAACCCCCCCCCCACCCCCCAAGTCTCTTTTTTCACTTCTGTCTCTCCATCTGAACAGGTGTCCATTGCAGGCCAGCCAGGAGGGGTAGAGGCAGCTCGCGCCAAAATCAGGGTAAGTTGGATGTAATTTCTATGGAGGTCTCTGAGGTCTGAACTATAGAACTCGGAACAGGCTGTTATTGTAAGCCTGTGTCACTACAGTCATCCTTTAGTTGTCCTATAACTGCATGTGATAGCTGTGGAACCTGTGAACTCAGAGGTAATGCTCTGGCCGTAGCCCATGTGGCAGAGAGGAAACAGTTCAAACCCAGCACACAGTGCGTCTGGCCTGGTAGAGTGTGCTCGACTCACCCAGATTCAGCTCCAGCTCAGAGGATGGTGGGCCATTCCGCTCTTGTCAGCCTCTGCTGTCCAGACCTTCCTTGTGTTTCGCCGCCATCACAATTCTTCACACGCATGTGCTTCCTTTCCAAGTGGACCAAGACAAATAAGCTCAATGAGAGAGAGGAGAGTAAGAGGGAGAGCGAGTATAGCGCAAGAGTGCGAGCACACGTGATTGTGTTTTTACAGGCAACAGGGAGCAACCCAGTTCATGCAATTCCTTGATAAAAAGTTTACTAATTGAATTTCAAAGTAGCGTTTGAGCGTACCTTTGTTGAAGGAAGGGGTTTATAAGATAAGCTCTAATAGCCACATGAATCCTCTCCTCCCAAAGTCAAACACCTAGCAGCCATACTCCACTAGTCCACCCAATCACTCAGCAACCCTCCATCCAAACAGCAGCCCAGCTGCTGCCCACTACCCAAACCTGTACACTGTTCTTACTCATACCACTTAGTACAACTACTCACACCTGTACCCTTTGGCCTATTGCCTTCACACTGCCCAACCATATGACATCTGTACAGCCACCCCACATACAGTATTAACACCTGCCCAGCTACCCTCATTCCAAACGTCCAACAGCCCTCCACCCCTTCACCCAAATTAAAGCCCTACTTTGCTTTGCACTGATATCCATTTCTTTTTATTTTTATTTAACCAGGTAAGCCAGTTGAGAACAAGTTATCATTTACAACTGTGACCTGGCCAAGATAAAGCAAAGCAGTGTGATAAAAACAACAACACAGAGTTACGTATAGGGTAAACAAAACATAAAGTCAAAAATACAACAGAAAATATATATACAGTGTGTGCGAATGTAGTAAATTATGGAGGTAAGACAATAAATAGGCCATAGTGCAAAATAATTACAATTTCGTATTAACACTGGAATGATAGATGTGCAAAAGATGATGTGCAAATAGAGATACTGGGGTGCAAATTAGCAAAATAAATAACAGTATGGGGATGAGGTAGTTGGATGGGCTAATTTCAGAATGGCTGTGTGCAGGTGCAGTGATCGGTAAGCTGCTCTGACAACTGACGCTTAAAGTTAGTGAGGGAGATAAGAGTCTCCAGCTTCAGAGATTTTTGCAGTTCATTCCAGTCATTGGCAGCAGAGAACTGGAAGGAATGGCAGCCAAAGGAGGTGTTGGCTTTGGGGATGACCAGTGAGATATACCTGCTGGAGCGCAGACTACGGGTGGGTGTTGCTATGGTGACCAGTGAGCTAAGATAAGATGGGGATTTGCCTAGCAGTGATTTATAGATGACCTGGAGCCAGTGGGTTTGGCGACTAATATGTAGTGAGGGCCAGCCAACAAGAGCGTACAGGTCACAATGGTGGGTAGTATATGGGGCTTTGGTGACAAAACGGATGGCACTGTGATAGACTACATCCAATTTGCTGAGTAGAGTGTTGGAGGCTATTTTGTAAATGACATCGCCGAAGTCAAGAATCGGTAAGATAGTCAGTTTTACGAGGGCATGTTTGGCAGCATGAGTGAAGGAGGCTTTGTTGCGAAATAGGAAGCTAATTCTAGATCTAACTTTTGATTGGAGATGCTTAATGTGAGTCTGGAAGGAGAGTTTACAGTCTAACCAGACACCTAGGTATTTGTAGTTGTCCACATACTCTGGGTCAGACCCGCCGAGAGTAGTGATTCTAGTCGGGTGGGCGGGTGCAAGCAGCGTTCGGTTGAAGAGCATGCATTTAGTTTTACTAGTGTTTAAGAGCATTTGGAGGCTACGGAAGGAGTGTTGTATGGCGTTGAAGCTCGTTTGGAGGTTTGTTAACATAGTGTCCAATGAAGGGCCAGATGTATACAAAATGGTGTCGTCCGCATAGAGGTGGATCTGAGCGTCACCAGCAGAAAGAGCGACATCATTGATATATACAGAGAATAGAGTTGGCCCGAGAATTGAACCCTGTGGCGCCCCCATAGAGACTGCCAGAGGTCCAGACAACAGGCCCTCTGATTTGACACATTGAACTCTATCTGAGAAGTAATTGGTGAACCAGGCGAGGCAGTCATTTGAGAAACCAAGGCTATTTAGTCTGCCAATAAGAATGCGGTGGTTGACAGAGTCGAAAGCCTTGGCCAGGTCGATGTTGGCTGCCATAAAAGATGAATGAAAAGGAACAGGTCAATGTCAGTTGCCACTTTGATATACACTCGCCTCTAGCAGCAGGGATTATAGGTAGAGTTGACCTTTCATAGTTTCATTTGTTTGCTCCAGATCTGCTCTTTACTGTTTGGGTTAACAATACATGGTCCTGGGTGGCCTCATCCGTCTCTGCCTGTTACCAAAACAATGATTGGATGGGTTTTACCTTCGCTGTAGTGCAGATATGGTAAATCCCTTGTTTGTGCTAGATCTTTGTTCTTAGAGCTGTTTTGAAGGGAAGGCTAAAGTTGAGTTGTACCGCGTCCCTTGAAGACTTGGTGTATGATGAATGTTTTAGTCTGTAGCTTTGTCCCAGATTTATGTAGTCGTTATACAGTCTTTATACAATATTTGCCTTTCTGCCCTTGTGTCTGCAGAACTCACGCACACCTTCAGATTGAATAAATATGAAGCTTAAAGTTGCCAGGAAGACCTGCTTTAAAAAGCTTATGTCAGCTATGTCTGAGCCATTCTTCATTCAGAGCCTGGTCGGGACTGTACTGTTTGTCCTCGCTGCGTTTCCCTACTCACTGACATAAATATCTCTGCCTTTACAGTGGAACCCCTGAAATGTGATCTAAAAGTAGGCCCAGAAACATATGGGATTAATCATGGGATCATTTCTTTGGTCAGTGTAATTCATGCTGTTTGCCATTCTCTGGCAGCCTAAGCTATGGCACACTGCCCAAGAAGGAGTGTTTGGATAAGTGTGTGTGTGCGTGCACGTACAGAAGTAGACATAAGCGTATGTATGAACTTTTCAGCAAAATCTGGCCTCCGTCTACTCTAGGCTGTTTGAATAATTGCTGTGATTTGAGTGATGGGGTCCACTTTTAGTCAGATCTCTGTTCTCTTTGATGGCGTGACTTGATGGATGATTTAGTGACTTTACCTTAACATTTACAGTCTGAGTATCAACAGACAGTCTAGGAGCAGACATGATCTGCTACTACAGCATTTTACTGTATGTTTAATCGGCTCCTAATGGAAGTGTGCTGTAGCATGGGCCTGATGAAGGGCGTAACGCGTTAGGTCCCTACTGAGTACTGGCACAGTTGAACCCATTGTGATAGACACCAGGGGTTTTATTGAGTTAAAACATTTCTATGCTATGTTTGGCCACACCCAGCTGAAGTGGGCATGTTTTGTCTGTGTAGATGTGCACATGCCTACACTATGTTAAGAGATTTCTCTCAACGTACAGTACCAGTGAGAATTTTGGACACACCTACTTATTCAAGGGTTTTTCTTTATTTTTACAATTTTCTACATTGTAGAATAATAGTGAAGACATTAAAACTATGAAATAACACATGTAGTAACCAAAAAAGTGTTAAACAAATGAAAATATATTTAAGATTTTAGATTCTTCAAAGTAGCCACCCTTTGCCTTGTTGACACCTTTGCACACTCTTGGCATTCTCTCAACCAGCTTCATGAGGAATGCTTTTCCAACAATCTTGATGGAGTTCCCACATATACTGAGCACTTGTTGGATGATTGTGGACTACAGGAAAAAGAAGAGGGCCGAGCACGCCCCCATTCTCATCGATGGGGCTGTAGTGGAGGAGGTTTAGAGCTTCAAGTTCCTTGGTGTCCACATCACCAACAAACTATCATGTTCCAAGCACACCAAGACAGTCATGAAGAGGGCACGACAAAACCTATTCCCCCTCAGGAGACTGAAAAGATTTGGCATGGGTCCTCAGATCCTCAAAAGGTTCTACAGCTGCACCATCGAGAGCATCCTGACTGGTTGCATCACTGCCTGGTATGGCAACTGCTCGGCCTCTGACCGCAAGGCCTGCCATCTAGGACCTCTATACCAGGCGGTGTCAGACGAAGGCCTTAAAAATTGTCAGTCTCCAGCCACCCTAGTCATAGACTGTTCTCTCTGCTACCGCACGTCAAGCAGTACCAGAGCGCCAAGTCTAGGTCCAAGACGCTTCTACCCCCAAGCCATAAGTCTCCTAAACATCTAATCAAATGGCTACCCAGACTATTTGCACTTTTTTTTATGCTGCTGCTACTCTCTGTTTATTATAGATGCATAGTCACTTTAATAACTCTACCTACATGTCCATATGACCTCAATTACCTCGACTAACCGGTGCCCCCGCACATTGACTCAGGGCCGGTACCCCCTGTATATAGCCTCGCTATTGTTATTTTACTATTGTTATTTTACTGCTGCTCTTTAATTTTTTTTTTTTTTTTATGGTATTCTTTCTTAAAACTGCATTCTTGGTTAAGTAAGCATTTCACTGTTGTATTCGGCGCATGTGACAAATAAAATTTGATTTGATTTCCTTCACTCTGCAGTCCAACTCATCCCAAACCATCCCAATTGGGTTGAGGTCGGGTGATTGTGGAGGCCAGGTCATCTGATGCAGCACTCCATCACTCTCCTTCTTGGTCAAATAGCCCTTACACAGCCTGGAGGTGTGTTTTGGATCATTGTCCTGTTGAAAAACAAATGATGGTCCCACTAAGCACAAACCAGATGGGATGGCGTATCGGCCATGCTGGTTAAGTGTGCCTTGAATTCTAAATAAATCACTGACAGTGTCACCAGCAAAGCACCATCACACCACCTCCTCCATGCTTCATGGTGGGAACCACACATGCAGAGATCATACGTTCACCTACTCTGCGTCTCACAAAGACACGGCAGTTGGAACCAAAAATCTCAAATTTGGACTCATCAGACCAAAGGACAGATTTCTACCGGTCTAATGTCCATTGCTCGTGTTTCTTGGCCCAAGCAAATCTCTTCTTATTGGTGTCCTTTAGTAGTGGTTTCTTTGCAGAAATTCGACCATGAAGGCCTGATTCACGCAGTCTCCTCTGAACAGCTGATGTTGATGTGTCTGTTACTTGAACTCTGTGAATCATTTATTTGGGCTGCAATCTGAGGTGCAGTTAACTCTAATTAACTTATCCTCCGCAGCAGAGGTAACTCTGGGTCTTCCTTTCCTGTGGCGGTCTGAGAGCCTGTTTCATCATAGCGCTTGATGGTGTTTGCAACTGCACTTGAAGAAACTTTCAAAGTTCTTGTAATGTTCCGTATTGACTGACCTTCATGTCTTAAAGTAAAGATGGACTGTCATTTCTCTATGCTTAATTGAGCTGTTCTTGCCATAATATGGACTTGGTATTTTACCAAATATGGTTATCTTCTGTATACCACCCCTACCTTGTCACAACACAACTGATTGGCTCAAACGCATTAAGAAGGAAATAAATTCCACAAATGTACTTTTAACAAGGCACACCTGTTATTTGAAATGCATTCTGAAGCTGGTTGAGAGAAGCTGGTTGAGAGAATGCCAAGACTGCAAAGCTGTCATCAAGGCAAAGGGTGGCTACTTTGAAGAATCTCCAATATAAAATATATTTTGATTTGTTTAACACTTTTTTGGCTACTACATGATTCCATATGTGTTATTTCATAGTTTTGATGTCTTCTCTATTTTTCTACAATGTAGAAAATAGTAAAAATATAGAAAAACCCTGGAATGAGTAGGTGTGTCCAAACCTTTGACTGGTACTGTATGTTTTCACTCTTATGTTTTTACTGTTTCACTATTAAAATGGACTCTGTTACATACTACAGGGCATTTGTATAAAGTTTGCAAAAGAATAGTATGATGATGGTAATAGCAAGATAATAACTGTATGCACGTCTTGCTCTCTCTCTCTACCTCCCTCTTCATAACTCTATCTCATAATCTTTATCTTTGTCTATTCATCTTTATCTCTCTCAGGAGCTGCTCCCTCTGGTTTTGTTGTTTGAGTTGCCGGCCATCGTGCAGCCTGACCCAGGCTCCCCCACAGTGCAGCACATCTCCCAGACCTACAACCTCACAGTATCCTTCAAGCCCCCCACACGTCTCTACGGGACCACCGGAGTGGTCCGCGGCTCCCAGAACAACTCTAGTGCCGTCAAGGTGAGGCCTAGCAACACCCCACACATCTACCCACCAACACACCACAGTACTTACAGAATAGCAGGGGTTGGGGCTTTGTGGTTAGAGAAGTGGACTGCTGTGACCAGAGGGTTGCTTGGTCAGCTCCCTAGTGGGAATTACAGTATTGTTGCTTTTAAAACCAAGCGCTGTTCTCTAACCCATGAGCAAGTAAATCTCCCTCCTGAGTAAATGTCTAATATAAGTCGTCTAGAGCGCTCTCTTCCTCTCCCCTTCCTCCACCCTGGGCCTCAGAGCTGCGGCTGGTGCCTAGAGCCTTACTTACCATTCAATCCAACATCCCTGGACCCCCCACCCACCTACCACTGACCCACCCTCACTATGGCCTTCAGTACAACCCAGCCTAGGGGGAGTTGAGTTAGTGGACTGGTAGAGGGTTCATTTTGACTTGGGATGCTGGCCAGATCGGGTCTGGGGTTTTGGGGGAGTATGCTATGTGGTTGGAGACCTTGCTCTGTAAAAGGGGTCTGCCAAAACCACTGTGGATTGCTGTGCTAGCCTCAGTGGCTGAAGGCTGGAATTCCATTGGAAGGCCTTCCAATTCCTCTAGTGATTGTTTGCAGAGGCAGAGGAGGCAGGGAATCTGACAATTCTGTTGGCTGCCAGGTGAAATGGAAAAACAGTGGTTTACTTTGGTGTAAACTATGGTTTAAATGTTGTTTCACAAGCTCAAATAAATATTGCTCTTGGGAGAAGCAAACAGGGTGGACACTTTTCATTGGTTTTTCTTCCTGCTCCTCTGCCACATTTGGATGTGCAAAATTAATCTAATTTTAGCTGTGTTTTTTCTTTGCGACAGAGGGTATCTTTAGTAGAAAGTGCTGTCCACACAGTCACTCACTCACCTTCGCTAGCTCCTTTGAGCATTTGTCCACACACTGTAAGAAAACAAAATCCTAGTCAAAATATTACTAGATGCTTCAGATTTATTGATTGAATTGATAGATTTGTGATTTTCTTCTCATCCCAGAGGGGCACTGCTATGCTGCTGGAGCACCTGGCGGGAAGCCTGGCCAGTGCCATCTCAGTCAGTACCCACCTGGACATCGCCCCTCAGCACCACCTCTTCATGATGGGCCGTAACGGCAGCAACATCAAACACATCACCCAGAGAACAGGAGCCCAGATCCACTTCCCCGACCCAAACAGCCCCCAGAAGAAATCTACTGTCTACATCCAGGGCACCATCGAGTCTGTCTGCCTGGCGCGCCAGTACCTCATGGTATGTGTCCATGCATGGTTTGTATAGATTAGAATAATTGCCTTGTTTCTGTTGGAAAATTACCCTGCACATGGATTTCTGTTGATTTAAACCACAGTTTTATTGTGTTTTGTCTCTGACCAAGGCACTTTATCAGCTATGTGGGTTGCAAATGTGTAAAATGTTGGTCATTTAATTGTCTTTGGGTAAAAACTTTTGCTGAGCAAGACGTCAAAGACATTACATTTAAACTTATTGGCATCCTGCTTAAACGTTATGTCAACGTCTGGGTGAAGTGGTGAAACGGAATCAGGCGCAGGTCACAGAACTGAGAAAATGAATGGATTTACTAAACAAAAGTAAACCATAACAAACCCTCCACGCAGGGAAGAGCAGAACAACAGCTCACCAAACGACGTAAAACAACGGACAATCACACACAAACTCAGGAGGGAAAACAGAGGTAATTATAGGGACACAAATAAGCATAATGGGTAACAGGTGTGATTAATAAAGACAAGACTAGTGTAACACAGAAACATCGATCGGTGGCAGCTAGTACTCCGGTGACAACGAACGCCGAAGCCTGCCCGAGCAAGGAGGAGGGGCAGCCTCGGCTGTATTCGTGACACGTTAACCATAATATAGAGCAGTTATGCTAGCCAGTGTTGGCGTTCTTTGTCTGTGGCGTCATTCTTACCCAAAGACTATTGAAGAATGTAGAAGTCGTTTTGTAAACATAACTTTTCTCTGTCTGGAAGTGGGACACACAAGAAGAGGCCCCTTTGGTCTGCCTTGGGAGAACCGAGGCATTTGACAAGGAGATGAGCCTCCCCCACAGAGAGCCATCTTTAGACCATCTCTCAGACTGTAAATTACAGCTCCGGCCCCTGCCTGTCACCACCAGCTTGGCCCAAACTGATTTTAATTACACGCAATGGGAAGGCCTCTATCGCCCAGCTGAATATAAAGTAGGAAGGAGTTCGTGGTGGGATCATGCAAAACAGGCTGTGTTGGTCAATTGTTTTGGAATTTCCCAAGTAATGTTGTATTTCAACTGAGCCTTCTCTCAACCCTTTACACTTGTGGGAATTGGCCTATATGGTGGATAGGGCCAAATGTAAATGTTTCAAACAGAATAAATATGAGAAGCATATGCATAACCATGGTAGCAATTGAAAGGGGAACACTTTGGATATTAATGGAAAATTATTAGACCAAATGTGAGGATACAACATTTCACCTGACACAAGACTGATTCCAAATATTACACTGGAAGACTGATTCCAAACATTACACTGGATTTTTTGTGCATTTTACATTTACTGTACTTTTTGTACGCATTTCTCAATAAGGAAATCAGAAAATACTCTGGATACATTTAGTAACAAAATAAATAATATTGGTGGAAATTGTGGGGTAGGTGCAACATAAGAACAATTTTTTTTAAAGGGTTTGAGTGAGAGGCCTAACTGGTATCTCCAAGTCACCACATACCTCTCCAAAGTGTGCGCAATTTGTTTGCAGTACAGCCCTGCATCCCCACCATCACACAATTACTGTTATTGTTTATGCAATCCAAAAACATTCCATAGCATCAATGCCTTCCTCTTGCAAGAACTGCTGACACACTCCAGCCACATGAGGTCTAGCATTGTCTTGCATTAGGAGGACGTCGGGCCCTCATACCACCCTCATGGAGTCTGTTTCTGACCGTTTGAGCAGACACATGCACATTTGTGGCCTGCTGGAGGTCATTTTGCAGGGCTCTGGCAGTGCTCCTCCTGCTCCTCCTTGCACAAAGGCGGAGGTAGCAGTCCTGCTGCTGGGTTGTTGCCCTCCTACGGCCTCCTCCACTTCTCCTGATGTACTGGCCTGTCTCCTGGTAGCGCCTCCATGCTCTGGACACTACGCTGACAGACACAGCAAACCTTCTTGCCACAGCTCGCATTGATGTGCCATCCTGGATGAGCTGCACTACCTGAGCCACTTGTGTGGGTTGTAGACTCCGTCTCATGCTACCACTAGAGTGAAAGCACCACCAGCATTCAAAAGTGACCAAAACATCAGCCAGGAAGCATAGGAACTGAGAAGTGGTCTGTGGTCACCACCTGCAAAACCAATCCTTTATTGGGGGTGTCTTGCTAATTGCCTATAATTTCCACCTGTTGTCTATTCCATTTGCACAACAGCATGTGAAATGTATTGTCAATCAGTGTTGCTTCCTAAGTGGACAGTTTGATTTCACAGAAGTGTAATTGACTTGGAGTTACATTGTGTTGTTTAAGTGTTCCCTTTATTTTTTTGAGCAGTGTAAGTCGCAGTCGGGATCAGGTGGGCATCATTTGAAAGCTTATTATATTGCCAACATGACTAGCTAAGTTATAAAATACAATCTTAGTGTTAGGCTTTCACAAGGCACTTTAGGGAAACGGTTGGTAATTTTGGTGTGCATATTATGGATTCATGAGTGCATTCAGGTGCATGTTCCGCAGCTAATTTTCACAGTACAATAAACATAAGCTCATTCTGTTCAGAACAACCCAGAGTATGACGCCATGTCATCCTTGCAACTGTACATCAAACATAGCGATCACAAATGTTAATCCTGTAAATGACGTGAGTTTCATCATATGGAAATGTGAAGTGCAGATTTGGACTCAAGGGTGTGTGGTTTGCTTATATGACATCAAAGCGGTATTTATTATAATCCTCAATGTCTCGTCTTTCAGAAAACATCGAGTCCTCCTTCTCAGACAACAAAAAAATATTGCTGTGGGGGCATCTTCTTGTTGTGCTTGGTGCTCATGCTTAGAGTGTCTGTCAGTTGAATCCCATACAGCGCTGTAAAGTGGAGACCCTGAGCTCTGACATCATGTATAGCATGTTAATTACTGTACAGCCACTGCGTTCCAATTTAGTCGCTTATCAGTGACCAAATCTGCTATTTTCAACCACTATTTGGGTTGTGGGGCTACTTTAAATGTCAGGTCATTTAAATGTCTGGTCAGGAAAAACTCTGCCCCACAGTGATAGTTCTGTAACAAGGGTCTGTTTCATGGGATGTGATGTGTGTGTTCCACAGGGCTGCCTGCCGCTGGTGCTGATGTTTGACATTAAAGAGGACATCGAGGTGGAGCCACAGTGTATCACAGCTCTGATGGAGCAGCTGGATGTCTTCATCAGCATCAAGCCCAAACCAAAGCAGCCCAGCAAGGTACGGCACTAAAATATGAACATCTAGTTAGGGCTGACCCCAATTAGTTGACTGGTTGTTTGGTCCATAGGCTGTTGGTCGACTGAGATTTTATTATGTTGAGCAGTAGCAAATATATACAGTACCAGTCAAAAGTTTGGACACACCTACTCATTCAAGGGTTTTTCTTTATTTTTACTATTTTCTACATTGTAGAATAATAGTGAAGATATCAAAACTATGAAATAACACATATGGAATCTTGTTGTAACCAAAAAAGTGTTAAACAAATTATTCAAAGTAGCCACCCTTTGCCTTGATGACAGCTTTGCACAGTCTTGGCATTCTCTCAACCAGCTTCACCTGGAATGGTTTTCCAACTGTCTTGAAGGAGTTCCCACATATGCTGAGAACTTGTTGGCTGCTTTTCCTTCACTCATCCCAAACCATCTCAATTGGGTTGAGGTCGGGTGATTGTGGAGGCCAGGTCATCCGATGCAGCTCTCCTTCTTGGTCAAATAGCCCTTACACAGCCTGGAGGTGTGTTGGGTCATTGTCCTGTTGAAAAACAAATGATTGTCCCACTAAGCCCAAACCAGATTGGATGGTGTATCGCTGCAGAATGCTGTGGTAGCCATGCTGGTTAAGTGTGCCTTAAATTCTAAATAAATCACAGACAGTGTCACCAGCAAAGCACCCCCACACCATCATTAACATTTACATTTTAGTAATTTAGCAGACGCTCTTATCCAGAGCGACTTACAGGAGCAATTAGGGTTAAGAGGGCACATCGACAGATTTTTCACCTAGTCGGCTCGGTGATTAGAACCAGCGACCTTTCGGTTACTGACACAACGCTCTTAACCACTAAGCTACCTGCCGCCCCACACCTCCTCCTCCAAGCTTCCACACTACACATGCGGAGGTCATCCATTCACCCACACCGCGTCTCACAAAGACACAGCGGTTGGAACCAAAAATCTCCAATTTGGACTCCAGACCAAAGGACACATTTCCACCGGTCTAATGTCCATTGCTCGTGTTTCTTGGCCCAAGCAAGTCACTTCTTATTATTGGTGTCCTTTAGTAGTGGTTTCTTTGCAGCAATTTGACCATGAAGGCCTTATTCATACAGTCTCCTCTGAACAGTTGATGTTGAGATGTGTCTGTTATTTGAACTCTGAAGCACCTATTTGGGCTGCAATTTCTGAGGCTGGTAACTCTAATGAACTTATCCGCTGCAGCAGAGGTAACTCTGGGTCTTCCTTTCCTGTTGTGGTCCTCATGAGAGCCAGTTTCATCATAGCGCTTGATGGTTTTTGCAACTGCTCTTGAAGAAACTTTCAAAGTTCTTGACATTTTCCGGATTGACTGACCTTCATGTCTTAAAGTAATGATGGACTGTCGTTTCTCTTTGCTTATTTGACTTGGTCTTTTACCAAATAGGGCTATCTTCTGTATACCCCCCTACCTTGTCACAACACAACTGATTGGCTCAAACGCATTAAGAACGAAAAAAAACTCTACACCACCTTTACTCCACACACAGAGACACGTTCAAAGATCTCCCTCGCCCACCATTTGGTAAATCTGACCATAATTCTATCCTCCTGATTCCTGCTTATAAGCAAGAACTAAAGCAGGAAGCACCAGTGACTCGGTTAATAAGGAAGTGGTCAGATGACGCAGATGGTAAGCTACAGGACTGTTTTGCTAGCACAGACTGGAATATGTTCCGGGATTCTTCCAATGGCATTGAGGAGTACACCACATCAGTCACTGGCTTCATCAATAAGTGCATCGATGACGTCGTCCCCACAGTGACCGTACGTACATACCAGAAGCCATGGATTACATGCAACATGTATGGACCCTTTCTAAAAATAGCCGCCGAAATTGTCGCAACCCCTATTACTAGCCCGTTCAACCTCTCTTTCGTAACGTCTGAGATCCCCAGAGATTGGAAAGCTGCCGCAGTCATCCCCCTCTTCAAAGGGGGTGACACTCTAGAACCAAACTGTTACAGACCTATATCCATCGTGCCCTGCCTTTCGAAAGTTTTTGAAAGCCAAGTTAACAGATCACCGATCATTTCGAATCCCACCGTACCTTCTCCGCTATGCAATCCGGTTTCCGAGCTGGTCATGGGTGCACCTCAGCCACGCTCAAGGTCCTAAACGATATTATAACCGCGATCGATAATAGACAGTACTGTGCAGCCGTCTTCATCGACCTGGCCAAAGCTTTTGACTCTGTCAACCACCGCATTCTTATTGGCAGACTATATAGCCTTGGTTTCTCAAATGACTGCCTCGCCTGGTTCACCAACCACTTCTCAGATAGAGTTCAATGTGTCAAATCGGAGGGCCTGTTGTCTGGACCTATGGCAGTCTCTATGGGGGTGCCACAGGGTTCAATTCTTGGGCCGACTCTTTTCTCTGTGTATATCAATGATGTTGCTCTTGCTGCTGGTGACTCTCAGATCCACCTCTACGCAGATGACAACATTTTGTATACATCTGGCCCTTCATTGGACACTGTGTTAACAAACCTCCAAACAAGCTTCAATGCCATACAACACTCCTTCCGTAGCCTCCAACTGCCTGTTGTCTGGACCTATGGCAGTCTCTATGGGGGTGCCACAGGGTTCAATTCTTGGGCCGACTCTTTTCTCCGTGTATATCAATGATGTCGCTCTTGCTGCTGGTGACTCTCAGATCCACCTCTACGCAGACGACACCATTTTGTATACATCTGGCCCTTCATTGGACACTGTGTTAACAAACCTCCAAACGAGCTTCAATGCCATACAACACTCCTTCAGTAGCCTCCAACTGCTCTTAAACACTAGTAAAACTAAATGCATGCTCTTCAATCGAACGCTGCTGGCACCCGCCCACCCGACTAGAATCACCACTCTCGACGGGTCTGACCTAGAGTATGTGGACAACTACAAATACCTAGGTGTCTGGTTAGACTGTAAACTCTCCTTCCAGACTCACATTAAGCATCTCCAATCCAAAGTTAAATCTAGAATCGGCTTCCTATTTCGCAACAAAGCCTCCTTCACTCATGCTGCCAAACATGCCCTCGTAAAACTGACTATCCTACCGATCCTTGACTTCGGCGATGTCATTTACAAAATAGCCTCCAACACTCTACTCAGCAAATTGGATGTAGTCTATCACAGTGCCATCCGTTTTGTCTCCAAAGCCCCATACACTACCCACCACTGTGACCTGTACGCTCTTTTTGGCTGGTCCTCACTACATGTACGTCGCCAAACCCACTGGCTCCAGGCCATCTATAAATCACTGCTAGGCAAATCCCCGCCTTATCTTAACTCATTGGTCACCATAGCAGCACCCACCCGTAGTCTGCGCTCCAGCAGGTATATCTCACTGGTCATTCCCAAAGCCAACACCTCCTTTGGCTGCCATTCCTTCCAGTTCTCTGCTGCCAATGACTGGAACGAATTGCAAAAATCTCTGAAGCTGGAGACTCTTATCTCCCTCACTAACTTTAAGCATCAGTTGTCAGAGCACCTTACCGATCACTGCAACTGTACACAGCCCATCTGAAATTAGCCCACCCAACTACCTCATCCCTATATTGTTATTTATTTTGCTCTTTTTGCACCCCAGTATCTCTATTTGCACATAATCTCTTGCACATCTAGCATTCCAGTGTTAATACTAATTGTAATTATTTTGCACTATAGCCTATTTATTGCCTTACCTCCATAACTTGCTACATTTGCACACACTGTATATATATTTTCTGTTGTATTTTTTTGACTTTATGTTTTTTTTACCCCATATGTAACTCTGTGTTGTTGTTTTTATCACACTGCTTTGCTTTATCTTGGCCAGGTCGCAGTTGTAAATGAGAACTTGTTCTCAACTGGCTTACCTGGATAAATAAAGGTGAAATAAAAAATTAATAAAAATAATTAAACACTAGTAAAATTAAATGCATGCTCTTCAATCGAACGCTGCTGGCACCCGCCCACCCGACTAGAATCACTACTCTCGACTTGTCTGACCTAGAATATGTGGACAACTACAAATACCTAGGTGTCTGGTTAGACTGTAAACTCTCCTTCCAGACTCACATTAAGCATCTCCAATCCAAAGTTAAATCTAGAATCGGCTTCCTATTTCGCAACAAAGCCTCCTTCACTCATGCTGCCAAACATGCCCTCGTAAAACTGACTATCCTACCGATCCTTGACTTCGGCGATGTAATTTACAAAATAGCCTCCAACACTCTACTCAGCAAATTGGATGTAGTCTATCACAGTGCCATCCATTTTGTCACCAAAGCCCCATATACTACCCACCACTGTGACCTGTACGCTCTTGTTGGCTGGTCCTCACTACATATTCGTCGCCAAACCCACTGGCTCCAGGCCATCTATAAATCACTGCTAGGCAAATCTCCGCCTTATCTTAGCTCATTGGTCACCATAGCAACACCCACCTGTAGTATGCACTCCAGCAGGTATATCTCACTGGTCATCCCCAAAGCCAACACCTCCTTTGGCCGCCATTCCTTCTCTGCTGCCAATGACTGGAACAAACTGCAAAAATCTCTGAAGCTGGAGAGTTGTCAGAGCACCTTACCGATCACTGCAACTGTACACAGCCCTTCTGAAATAGCCCACTCAACTACCTCGTCCCCATATTCTTATTTATTTTGCTCATTTGCACCCCAGTTTCTCTATTTGCACATCATCTCTTGCACATATATCATTTCAGTGTTAATACTAATTGTTATTATTTTGCACTATGGCCTATTTATTGCCTTACCTCCATAACTTGCTACATTTGCACACACTGTATATATATTTTCTGTGGTATTTTTGACTTTATGTTTTGTTTTACCCCATATGTAACTCGGTGTTGTTGTTTTTATCGCACTGCTTTGCTTTATCTTGGCCAGGTCGCAGTTGTAAATGAGAACTTGTTCTCAACTGGCTTACCTGGTTAAATGAAGTTGAAAAAAATAAAAATAAACAT